TAGATCTGTCAGCTCCATTGGCGGAAGCGACGGGTCAAATCATGATACACGATGGGAAACTGCTGAGGAGATGGAGAAATGGAGGCCGCCTGACACAGGGACCTGGAAAATGAACAGCGACGCCTCATATATAAACAGCACGGGGGAAACAACTGCGGGTATTGTTGTCAGAGACTGCAATGGGTGTGTTGCTTTGTCCATCTGCAAGAAATTGGCCCCTTGCAACTCGCCTGAGGAAGCCGAAATGGCTGCTATTTTGTACGGCCTGACCGAGTTAAGGAAGCGCTACTATGGTCAGCTATGTATTGAGACGGACTGTGCGAATGTAGCCGCAATGCTGAAGAGTAACGCCGAGAACCGATCTGTCTTGTTTCCGTTGATTGCAGATGCGAGAGCTCTAATGCTTAGTTTTAAGGAGGTCTCCATCAGCGCAGTAAAACGGAGCAGGAATAAACTAGCGCATGAACTGGCGGCCTTTGCGAGGAGATCAGGGGATTCTGTATATATGGCAGATGTTCCGCAAGAACTCAGAGAAGTTCGTGATAGTGAATGTAACCTCCCCCCTGGGGCTTTGTAAGCTGGCTTTGAGCCTCTTCTCAAAAAAAAAGAAAAGAATATTAGCTGGTTTGCATGAGTTTCGTCTGCTAAGTCAAAACCCAACTTGAAATGTATACGGTAGTGTTGAATGGCCGGCTCCGACATCCATATCCGCGAACGGATTTTGAAGCAAATTTATAGATCAGCGTTGCAGGTGTCCTTACAAAGTTGCGAGGCCTAGAGTACGTGGGAGACTCCACGGCGTCCACGCGATGGCCATGTGGAATCTTTGTGACGCGCCGCTCGACGATCGAGCACCAAGTACTGCGTCGCCTTTTAGATGACTATAGTTGGATAACGACCATCGTCCTCGACTAGGCTGCGCGTGCTACGTCCGTGCGTGGTCTCCGTGGAGATCTCCTCGAGTTTTCTTGTCTCATGCAGGCTCGATCTGCCGTTTGTTTACGTGCCTGCAGCCTGCAGGTCGAGTGTTCTGGCTGAACACAACACTCGACACTTGGACAGCGACCCGCGCAGCTATGCTGTCGCGAGTCTGGACGATGAAAACACCAGCTTGCGGCCGGCCAGCCTTGGTTTATCTTTTGTTTCTTCGAGATAGCATTCGGTTACCTGGAGAAACAGGGTGTCTGCGGATATGCTTTAGGGGAGAATCCCGAGAACACCGGATTCACCAACAAGGCACCAAGCAGCTGTATATTGTGGAGTCGAGTCGCCGACCCGTGCGTGTGTGGCAGTGTTCGTTTCGCTGCTGCTGTAATGGCGAACGTCGCGGAGCACCGCGTACAGATGCCGGCGGATCCCCCCGCCGGCAAGGCCGCCGCGGCACCGGAGATGGGGCTGAATCGCTTCGTTCGCTTCGTCGTGCTGATCGAGAGGTTCGGCAATGCCTTGGGCACGCTGGCCTTCACCTGGGGCACCGTCGTCCTGCTCGGCGGCTACTCCAGCGACCTCGACAGTGATTTCTTGGTCTCGACGGTCATAATTTTCTTAGAAGCCTTGAGGTACGCACGAAACTACTACATGTCGCAAAATAAACTCTTCCATTATTTTCCTTTCGGCGAATTACATTGTAGCAGCAAGTGAAGCAAAATAAGTGCTGGACTCATAAAAGATGTTGAATAAAAAGAAACCGATTTACTCAATTTCATCTTTTTTTTTCATCTAGATGAGAATTAACTGCCTCCTGTGCCATTTAAAGAGCGCCCGCACGTCTTTCTTTCAAAACAAACAAACTCCTCACCCGAAAAAACAAACAAACTCCTAAGCCATTTGATTTTACATGAAGATTTGTGTGCAATTTTTTTGTTTGATGTAAAGACAGTATTATTGTTAACTTCTTTCGCTAGGGCTATAATAATATAAATTTTGTGGCATACTTAATCTAATGTTTTGCTAATCAACTTTATGGTCAAAATTTGACCCAAAATACGAGAGGGGCCTAAATGAGGATGGAAGAAGTACAAAAGAAGCCTATCCTGCTCAAGTTTGGTTCAATACACCCTTTAAAAAAGTTGACAACTTTCGATACAGATCGATTCAGTTTAAAGTATAACTTTACAATCATGAGCTGTTTCAAAATCTAGTCAGAATAAGTTTTCCAGGGTCCCAAATTTCACAATTGTCACTCTGATTAAGATACAAGCATGTGCCTTCACTTTGTTGATTGTATGTTACCTTTTTGTCTAACAATACCATATATGTATGTACTTCAGGATGTTCAGCCACAACAACAGGGTGGATTACCAATTGTTCTTCCGCACAAGAGGTGCTTTCAGGTCTCTTAGCTGGAATGGGCTGATCTTGCTCGTATCCTTCTTCAATGTTGTGATATCAATTGGTCTTCTTATATGGGCCAAACATGAAGCAATATACATACTGAATTTGTCAATGGTAATACTTGGGGTTGGCGCAATTCTATGTCCAGAAACTGCAATTCAACACATTTGCGATCTGCTATGCCCCACGATATCATTATGGGGTCCAACGGTTACAATCATGCTACTTTTTCCCTCTCTACTATATAGGGTCGATAAAGATTTCAACATTCAAAGACTCAGCTCAATTGCCAACTGCACAGTATACCTGGTACTACTTGTGGTAGTGCTCCTACTCACAATCAGCAGGCTGCGGTTCCCAAGTACCATCAAGCTAGCAGACTGGGCTCTTGGCAGCAAAATAGCATTTTGTCATCGAGTTATTCCGAACTTGTGCATGTTTGTTGCGACAGTGATGTCGGTGATCGGTTTTCCAGCAAGTTTTAAACTTATTATTAGCATATCAGACGCAATGGCTCTATTGATAATGTCATTTGGCAACCTCCAGATTCCAGCAGCAGTATTACGCATTCGGCTAGCAATGGGGGGCCTTCAATCTATAACACATGACTACTATGGTGATGATAAACGCGAGGACAAGAAAAACCTTGTGCCATCTCTCCAAATATTTTCTGTGATGGTGCTTGGTCAAGGAATACTCTATATTGTTGCCGGCATCCTTGAGATCTTTTCATTCATCCTACGAAGATCCCTGATCGGCCGTGCCGGATTTAGAGGTCTCCCAGGAGTGGAATATGTCAATTTGTACTACACATATGCCTTCAACAGATGCATGGAACGTGCTATGCTTGCCCAAGAGAAGACCAGCCTCGTCATATTTGCTATGGATTCTTTAAAGTCAGACTCACGCAAGATGCAACTCTATGGGCTTAAGATATTGCACAGTTTTTTGAAAAAGGAGTCACTAAAGAGTAATGCTATATTGGAGCTCACCACTTACACGAAGACTGTGACCTGCTTGATAGACATGTTGGGCTCGACAAGTGAACATGATAAAGATATTAGATTATTTGCCGCGAATGTCATGGTCGAGCTCGCTGATAACCTCCGAGTTGTCTCTATCCCTGGGGCAATGCAGTTCATAGCCTCACTTTTGGACACTGCTCACGGGCAAAATATAAAGGATCCTCTTTTGGACGTTGGTAGCCCTGAGCCAAAACAAGATAACCTGATTCAGCAAGTTGGCAGGAACAAACAGACCTCCCCAAAACTTAAATGGTTGAAACAGATGGCACTATACTGCTTGATTCCGAGAGAGACAATTAACATGGATGAACAAAACACCCATATACCAAGATGCTGGAGATGAATTACAAAACACTGGTCTGTTCCAGAGGAGGAGCCATCGACCGACCAGGATCTCCTCCCTGTACAAGGCATGTTAATTCTTGACAAGCTTGCTAGCTTTGATATAGAGAACTGTATAGAAATCAGCAGATCAACTGGCCTCATCTCAAAGATTGTAGAGTTCACAAGCAAAAGAACTGACTTGACAAATATCCATGAGACACACCAGACGTTCTTGAAATGTTCATCACTGAAGCTGCTGACAAGACTTGCAAGTACTAAAGGGAAATTTGGTGTAACTATGTGTCAGATGATTACAGAACATCCCTTCCTTTTGAGTAACCTTGCAGAAATATTGGATAACAATGGGAGCAGCCAAGAACTTAGGG